ACTGTATATATATATATATATATATATATATACACATCATGCTTTATGGCTCATAGTATGATATAGGAGCTCATACTTGAAGAGAAATAAAACACATATATTTACATACGAGGCCCAAACTGAGAAAAAAAAATGCAATTTGGTGCAGATGTTGCTATTTATACGGTCAAAAAGTAAGATGAAATTTTGATAGCTTGTAATGTAAATCTCTGAGATCTTTATATCAGCAGACTACTTACAAAAATGCATATAAATATCAGTTGTCCCATTATATCTCCTTATAATATGTCTTAGTAAGATGATATATAAATGCTTAGTTTATGATCAAAGCTCTGTAGTTTTTATTGTAGGGGGCAAAACATATAATGCAATGCAATAAAATGATGATTGAGAGATGAACAAATAAAAGTCCCTCAAAAGCCTGATGATCATATTTAATACTCACATTTCAACATGGTTTTTCTTTTAAAAAATGATGTATGGCTAATAAAGTAAACCTACGTTGCTTTGGTACAGTAAGTACTATTCATCTTGAATTACTAACAATATAAAAGTTATGTAATTGAGATATTAAAAATATCTCACTTGTGCTTCTTTCATTCCTAGAGTTTGATTAAGAAAAAGTGGATCATCTTTTGAGGACCACAGAGAGATTTTGCAGTAGAAAATCTAAACATAAGAGTTATCTAACTACATTCAACTTCTCACCACATAATGACAACCATATGTCTTAAAGATATGTCATGCAGAGTTCATGAAACACATCAAAGTGCTCTTCTATTGTCAGCTATATGCATCTCCATCATTTCATGACCGAGTGACCTGTCAGGTAAAAGCCCTGAAGATATTCCAAATCAAAAGCTTTATATGGACAAAAAACAAAGCATTGGTTTCTAAAACTGAATGATAATGCATGGTTTCATGGGACTATCATTAAATTAATAAAATTAATAAAATCAATTGTTGAAACATTAGGGAAGTATATGATGTTTTGTATTTATGCTGTGCATTAAAATTTCATTGGCTAGATATTAGTTTTTGTGCAGTTTTCTCTTTGAATTGCATTAAAATCTGAGGATTTATTTTGGGGTTTTTGCTTTATTCGAGACATTCAAACACTAACGTTTGTTTAGATCTATTCAATGAGTTTTAAAAATTACACAGAATTGGAAAGGTCATGGAAAGTTCGGATAACATGAAACATGCATGTTTTCTTGAGTCAGTGTATCACTGAACATCAGTCTATCAGAGCTCCATCACCATGGCAGCAACATGATCTGCACTTTAGCGTTTCATCCAATCCATCACTATCATTCAGTCCCTCATGAATTATTTAAGTTCTGAGGAGACTCTCAAAGAGGTTCCAGCAAATCAGATTCATGCATATTCAAAAGAGATCATCTCTTACCAGTAATAAGTGTTTCAAAGTTTCTTTTAATTAATTCCTTTGTTAGATGTCATTTAAGTATCTGAAATTCATCTATGCATATCTGCTAATTAATATTAGAATTCATAAAAAATCATTAACAAGTCAAGGTTGACCATTAAACAAGATTAATTGCTGAATTATTGTCAAGGATGTAGTTTTTGTTTTATCTTTTTCTGCCTAAAGCTAAAAATGGCTATGTATACCACTTAATGCAATGAAAATGAAATTCCTATTCAACCTCAACTGTGAACCAGTACCATTATCACTTTCTTTTGCCTCAGCTAAATAGTGTAGTAAACCTCCTCAACACTAGACTGCTGTAGTGAGTCATTCACAAACGGAACATCTTGTGATCAGACGAGAATACAACAGCGCAGCGCTCAAAGCGGTATGTTCACTTTTATAAATAAACGTTGTTTATGAAGGTATTTAGCAAGACCGCATTTGTTTAGAAACACGTACTGCAGATTTATAACCCATATATTTGTATTCTGTGCTTTTGACACAAAGTAGCCTTGTGTCGCATGAGAGTGCGGAAGGGCCCGTGTGTTCCTCGATCCCGCTTTAATATCCCAAAACATAAACTTATTCGCAAATAAATGATTGCAGTTTAATAAAACGTGATTAATAGTTACGTAATGATAGAATAATCACCGTTAACTGGTGTGTAACGGAAGGATGGGCCTGTGCGTATTCATGCGAAAGGCCCTAATCGTGTGGTTGAGTAACGTTAACATAATGGGCTTTTAAGCATCATACGCCTATATAACGTTAGATTAAAAAAAAAAAACTCCCAATGCGTCTATAATGCAGTAGTTCGAACTATTAAAGGCAGATGATGTGCAAAAATATTAAAATCAAAGAAACGTATGATACCTGCCGTCAAATGTTCGACCCGAAAGTGCGTACGATGGCCGAAAATGATAAAAAAAATGGTTCCTAAAATGTTAGATTCGTACGTTCGAACGCACTTCTCATGATCAAAGTGTTCGAATTGAAAATTCAAACGTGCCTCTGATTCCCGGAAATGTTAGCACGCGCCCGTGACGCTCCATATGTGTTTTATTTGAATATTCCGATGTGCCTATCATGGTCTAAATAATATCCAAAAATGCAGTCGTTTAAGAAGGTTTTTAGACCCATCCAGTATGTAGTGCATCTGTCCTCTGCTGTTTTCTAATATTCTCTTGTTCTGTACTTTATTTCAGGTCACTCCAAAAATAAAAAAAACATGTCTGAACCACGAGCCTTCAAGAATCCCTATCCAGATTTCACTGGGCCTGGATGTGCACAAGACCTGTTTGACATGCAGGGAAATGTGAGCGATTCCAATATGTGACATGGTACCTCTGTAGTTTATTATAAGATTTAGGGGTACTCCGATCAGGATTTTTGAGGCCGATCACAGAAAGCAGTATCAGCCGATACCGATCTTTTTAAAGCCTTCTTTTTATCATTTATAACTATTTATAGTGTTACTCCAATCAAGATTTTTAGACATTTATTCAGGGCCTGAATTTCATTTTTGAAAATGGGGGAAATTCCCCTTTTAGGTGACTCTTGTGAGAGGGCATTTAAACTACTTTTCTTACGTTATCACAAGCGTACCATTGACAGAAATAGTCAGCTATACTGCCTTTTCTTTTGCATTCAGATCTTTATTACAAGCAATCCTGCAGTTCATAAAGAACTTTGTTTTCCTACCTCCACGAGTGTCATCTATTTTTGCCTTGCTTATCTTCATTTTCGCATT